ACATGTCGATACAGGATGCATGACCTTAGGTGACACGTCGATACCAGGATGCATGACCTTTAGGTGACATGTCGATACAGGATGCATGACCTTTAGGTGACATGTCGATATCAGGATGCATGACCTTTAGGTGACATGTCGATACCAGGATGCATGACCTTTAGGTGATGTGTCGATACCAGGATGCATGACCTTTAGGTGATGTGTCGGTACCAGGATGCATGACCTTTAGGTGACATGTCGATACCAGGATGCATGACCTTTAGGTGACATGTCGGTACCAGGATGCATGACCTTTAGGTGACATGTCGGTACCAGAATGTATGACCTTTAGGTGACATGTCGGTACCAGAATGCATGACCTTTAGGTGACATGTCGATACCAGGATGCATGACCTTTAGGTGACATGTCGGTACCAGAATGTATGACCTTTAGGTGACGTGTCGGTACCAGGATGCATGACCTTTAGGTGACGTGTCGGTACCAGGATGCATGACCTTTAGGTGACGTGTCGGTACCAGGATGCATGACCTTTAGGTGACATGTCGGTACCAGGATGCATGACCTTTAGGTGACATGTCGGTACCAGAATGTATGACCTTTAGGTGACGTGTCGGTACCAGGATGCATGACCTTTAGGTGACGTGTCGGTACCAGGATGCATGAACTTTAGGTGACGTGTCGGTACCAGGATGCATGACCTTTAGGTGACATGTCGGTACCAGAATGTATGACCTTTAGGTGACATGTCGATACCAGGATGCATGACCTTTAGGTGACATGTCGATACCAGGATGCATGACCTTTAGGTGACGTGTCGGTACCAGAATGTATGACCTTTAGGTGACGTGTCGATACCAGGATGCATGACCTTTAGGTGACGTGTTGATACCAGGATGCATGACCTTTAGGTGACGTGTCGATACCAGGATGCATGACCTTTAGGTGACGTGTCGATACCAGGATGCATGACCTTTAGGTGACGTATCGGTATCAGGATGCATGACCTTTAGGTGACGTGTCTGTACCAGGATGTATGACCTTTAGGTGACGTGTCGGTACCAGGATGTATGACCTTTAGGTGAAGTGTCGGTACCAGGATGTGCGACCTTTGTGTGAAGTGTCGGTACCAGGATGTGCGACCTTTGTGTGAAGTGTCGGTACCAGGATGTGCGACCTTTGTGTGAAGTGTCGGTACCAGGATGTGCGACCTTTGTGTGAAGTGTCGGTACCAGGATGTATGACCTCTGTGTGACGTGTCTTTACCAGGATGTATGACCTCTGTGTGACGTGTCTTTACCAGGATGTGTGACGTGTCTTTACCTGGATGTGTGACGTGTCTTTACCAGGATGTGTGACGTGTCTTTACCAGGATGTATGACCTCTAGGTGACATGTCTTTACCCGTTGTGTCGTCACCGGAAGGGCTGTCCCAGCACAAACCTGTGTCATATGACGCCTTACTAGCCGATTTGGGCTAAAATTCCGCTCCGCCGCCTCTTTACAACAGTGTTTATACGCGGAACTTGATATTGCTTTTTACAATTTGAATCACATATTTTAGTGAAACATTGTTTATAGAGTGAAATATTATTGTTATACATAATTCAATCTTTGAAACAACAGAAACTAACACATAACGATAATCAAATCTGTGTTTGAAGTTCGAAAGTAGTTGCGTTATTTCCGGTTTCAACTAGTTCGAAAATAGAACTCCTTCCGAACCAGACATTAGCAGCGTAAACTTATTGCAAATTTGCGCAATTTGGGCCCAGTTTGTTCTTACAAGTTTCATTTATCATTATTTAGTAAACAGGTCCCTGAAACGATTTAATATATCCGTAAAATACGTGGCAATCGACTTTGAAACGTTCAAAATTTCGAACAAACTCCCGGCGCACCTAGCGTGATATGCGTCAGATCGGTGTAGTAGACGCCAAACTGCAGCGTCAATGGTCTTTACCAGGATGTATGACCTCTAGGTGACATGAGGTTACACTTTTAAGTCAATTGTATTTAGTCATTATGTTATGTTTCACATTATCTGCAGCACCGAAGTCATTCTTGACAGCATCTCTTCTACTTTTCTAATGTCAACGAGTTTTTTTAACGTTCCATTGTACTTTTAGGGGGGTCATACATATGTGTATCAGAATGTATGCATTTATCAATTACAACAAAACTGAAATGAGTACACTTAAAGGGAAACTAAATAGAGCCTATTTTGATGTTTGTATTTATCAAGTTATGTATATTGATTATAAATTTGAAAAAAAAAATTAAAAAAATGATTGTCTTCAGAGTTATGATGATTTAAATATGAGAAACCATAAACCTGCGAAGGACTTCCGTTTGCGCCATCTTGCCATAAAAAAAACGCCCTCATGAGGTATAAACAGGTAAGGTAACAAAGCATGATGACGAAATAGTATCTGATTAAATATAAGCAACTTGGGGAGCCATAGCTGGCTGGACTTCTAGTCTAGGTTGTTTCGACTTTTACGTTAATGTTATTTACAAGCATATCAACATACAAACATTATGGATGTGCAATTGATCGAGACAGGCATTTTGTTTTGTTTTTTGTCTAACTGTCTAATAAATGCTGTTTCCAGTACTGCACTGTGCGGCGTGCAAATTATTCAAAGTA